CTCTCAGGTTCTTATCTGCCCCCGCCCGCCCCTCCCGCTGCTTCCGGACTGACCATATACCTATCCGGAGGCCAAGGGCAGGTCGTGGGCGGGAGCGTCGTGGGGCCCCTGACGGCCTCCGGTCCGGTGACCATCGTTGCCGCATCTTTTGGGAATGCGGCATACGAGAGGCTTCCCATTGAAGATGACGAATGCCCGGTATCGGGAAGCGAAGAAATGGGCGGCGGAATGGGCAGTAATCATCACCAGCATCCGCCGCCGCCACTCCAAGGTTTGCCTACCAACCTTATAAGTTTGCCGGCTGATGCTTATTGGGGTGGCGGCCGGGGTAATGTTCGGCCTCCTTATTGATAAAAATTGGGTGTAATGTTTTTTGTTAAGGCAATTATATTATTATTACTAATATCACCATTATGGATATAATTCGAGTAATTAATGCTCTTGTGAGTATAATTAATTAATAAGTATGGTTTTCATTTGAACATAATTTACCATCTCAATCACTTTAAATTAATCATTTTGAAACATTAAAAAAGAATGAATGTGGATATGTAGCATGTCCATATATATTCTTTGAATTTTTAATGTATTAAAAAAGTTATAATGATGATAAGGGAGAGAGCTTTGAAGCCGGATAAAATTCTACTCCGTAGTAATTAAGCTGCGTATCCTAGTAAGCTGGATGAAATTCTAAGAATGTACTCCCTCCGTTCTCAAAAACACTTCCTCTTTCATTTTTTCCACTTCCAACAAAACACTTCCCCTTTCTATTAAAAAACCACTTTTACCTTACTTTTTCATACCCTACCTATCACATCATACTTTTTCTCTAATAATCTATCCATCACATCTTACTTTTACCCATCACATCAGGGGCAAAATTGGAAATCAACTATAATTTAACACTTCCTTATTTTTGCCCCCAAATCAAATGGGAAGGATTTTTCCAAACGGAGGGAGTATTTCTTAGAGTCCAAAGATTTTAGATTGAGCAAAAGTAGGAATGAATATGTGAAATGTTGCTTCAAAGGTAGAACTTAGTCGAAAGTTGAAGTATCGATCGATTAATAACACACAATGACTAATAAAGATGGGTTCTACTACCTAGTTTGGTTTGATCATTCAAGAAGATGAAAGATAGATGTGGATGTTGTTCATCGTATTTGAGCTGGTGGGTCAAAGTGGAAGCTAGTTTGAACTTTGAAGTGCCATGCATTTGCAACAAGAAGATGTCAATTCAACAATCATTGCATGATGAAAGGGAAACTGTTGTGTTGGATGGTGAAGAAATCATACATTCATGAACTTAATTCAAATGGAAGAGACGAGGGTATTAATTGAAGTGGTTGTGTGCGTGTTTATAAATACGAGGACTGGTAATATAGAGATGCGAGCTGAGGGGTTTGAGGTAGTGGAAGTGAGAATGGATAGAGGTAGACCTAGGACGAGTTGAAATGGGGTGAAACATTAGATCAAAAATTAGAATAATTGGATAGATCATTAGGTGTTCGCGCTATATATATATATGAGGATCTTAGGACCATTGCATGCAGGTTTACGACCTCAGGCGCTACCAACTCTCCAAAAACCAATTGGTGTTAGAAAAGGTGCATACTCTAACCTTATAGTACATACACTTAGCAGGCACAGACATCCACGACATTCGAGTGTGGTTTAACCCATTTAGTCTCCACCACAGAACTGTTGATGCACACATGACGAACAATCTCGTCCTCAGTAATTGCTCTCGCTAAGAATCGAACTCGCGACCTACCCTCTAATACCACTTGTAAGACCTCAGACGCTACCAACTATATATTCTAAAATAAATTGGTGTTAGGAAAGACATATATCCTTGCATTATAATACATATATTCAACATACACAAGCGTCCACGACATGCGAGTGAAACTGACACGACATCTACCACGGGACAACTGTTGCACACATAACCAACAACACGAACATACACTTTATCTCTCACTCCACTTAATCACAAATTTTTTGTTATTAATTATTGGATGTCTCTATGAATGCCTAGCTATGATATAGTTGAAGTAAAAGGTACTCCTTAATACATACGAGAGTATGAAAATTGAGGTGGTGACTTGAAGATTTATCAAAAAAATGTTACCAAATCATGTTTAAGAATATCTACCACTTGGCCGCTGCAATTCATCATCATGATTACATGTAATGCTAGACATGGGAGTACATGTATTTGTGGGGGCGCATTATATAGATAGATATATATGTATATGTATATATATCAACCATGTGAGTTAATTATAGTTCAGGTATGGGATTCCGTGATAGTTGCTCTTTCTTTGCTTTCTTGCTAGCTTTTCCTTAACAAGCATATAGCACTTACATCTAAAATGTACCCCAAAGTTACACCAAATGTATATACTAACATTTTGATTGTTAGCATTGACACAAAATGATGGTGCTTTGACAAAATTTTGTACTAACATTTGGTATCTGTGTGAACTACTCCGTATTATTCTAACATTACACACACTTGCATTGTACAAATTGAAGTACAAATTTTGGAGTACAAATAGTTTAATCCTTTCCTTAATTAGGGGGGAGTATGGGGTGGAAATTAACTCGTATTTATATCGTACCATGTAGTTCAGTTCGATATGTGATTTAACGTGTTGTAGATCTCGATCTTAAAATATATGTTTGGGATGATTTGATATATGTACGTAGTTACTTTACATGATGAGGATATATGTTGTTCGCTTCATAATACATAGTATCTTAAATTCCTTAGCGGGGGTCTAAGAGGCAACAACGTAACCCCTAGCTAGTGGAGACGTTGAAGGGGCAACATCCCAGGTAGCAGCCCCTGGCGAGGTCCCGGGAATTATTTATTTATTAAGAACAACGTGATGTTTCGCGTAAAACCACTAGCTGCATTCATTCATATTTATAAGTAATCTATTCAAATGTATCGCGATATTTCTTATCGTTTCGAATAGAAGACAAGTATGTTCAAAATTTCTCTCTGTATACTTCCCCTGCCAAAAATGCTGGCATACTTCAGTATTTAAAAATCACGATCGAGAACTTTTTTTGTGTTTTCATTAAATTGATTATTCGATAAAATAAAATATTCTTGTTATTTTTTGTTTTGTAGAACTTTTAATATAGTTTTTAAATATGTAATTTGTTTAAAATATGTTAAAACAATTTTTATTCTATATCAATCTTTAAATAAAATAAATTATAAGATTTCAAATTTACTCCATTTTGCATAAAAATGTAAATTTTTTAAGTACGAAAGGAGTATATGATTTCGCACATACTTTAAACAGTACTCCCTCCGTCCCATTTTAAATTGCCTGTTTGTCTTTTTTCTCTGTCCCAAAATAAGTTGCCTGTTAGTTGTTTTCGTAAACTTTTAAAAATAAAATACCTAAATTACCCCTAAAATAAGTCACTCTTTTTCACTTTATCTTCTCATTCATCATCACCCCTTCTAAAAAGTAATGGCAATATCGGAAAATTAATTCTATTTTTATTTTCCTTAAATATGCCCAAAAGTCAAAACATGCGATTTAAATTGGGACGGAGGGAGTAGTAAGTAATCAAGTCACCACCTCAATTTTCAAATCTTTAAACATGTTAATCTATTCAAATCTTTAAATAAATAAATTAAAAAAGCTAAAAAATTTTAGTGTTAGTACAATATAGCATTCTTTTTGGAAGGAGTTATAAGCAAATTAACTAAAGAGGTCATCATGTCATGAATGTGTTTTGCTATTTTAGGGATATTTAATGAAGGAGAGGGCATGTAACGTCCGGTCCGGTCCGGTCCGATGGTCAGTGGGTCGGCTGCTCATTTCCGAGGCAAACTTTCCACGCACTCCCCTGCGTGCCTCTGTCCCTTTTTCCGTCAGCCCTTTAACTAACTCTTTACTATTTGTCGGTCAAACCCAACACTTTTTCTCTCTCTCGTAACTCCAAATATTTATTTATTTTTTTTATATTCTCCAAAAATTAAATGTTAGCGGTGTTATTTTTATGATTTCAAGTTTTCAACAAGCGTTTTTTATTTTATTTTTTAAATGCTAAAAATTACTCACTCCATCCCTAAATATATCTCACATTTTCATTACCGAGGTAAAATATCAAATTTTTTCAATTTATTTTATTTATATATTGGTATAGAAATAAAAAATAAAATTTACATATAAAAAAAGTACATGAAACGTTCTTCGAAATATGATATGTCAAGAATATTTTATTTTATTAAATAATCAATAAAAATATAAAAATAAACAAAAATTCTCGCGACTGCTGAAAAAGCAAATGTGAGATATATTTAGGGACGAAGAGAGTAATTCTTAAAATGTTAGAGCTCAAATACCTTTGATAAATAATATTTTCAAACATTGAAATTGTGACAGTATTTGTCATTTTCTTTTTTGTCCGTCTGGATAACCTTTTTAACTTTTTCTCTATCTATTTTTTACATTTTTCTTGATATTCATAGTATCAAGGTGAGAAAATTTTTATGAAATAAAATGGCCATATTTTAACCATTTAATTTCATATGGAGTATTTTTCTATATTTCGTACAAAGACTCTAAGGTCGGTGCACCCAACCCATCTACAGACTCTACTTTCGTGAAACTCTATTGAATTATTTTTTCATGCAGAGATAAACGAGAACTTGTGAAGATGAAATGCAAGACCTCTCTCACTCTAGCTATATATTGTACTCCTTTCGTTTCTATTTTACACCAATTTTCATATAAAACAAATAAAAAATCATTTCACTCAAACATCGTAAACTAAAACGAGCAATTTCAATTGGGACGGAGCGAATATTGATGTGAGCCAAATAACTCTTTCTTTATAAATAAATAAAAAAAGATTAATTAGAGATCTCCAAAAAAAAAAGTGAAGAAAAAAGGGATAGAGGGTTAGCTAGGGAGGGTGGCTACTAAGGACCAAGTATAGAGACATGACATAGAATATTAGCCCTGATTAGTGTTAGCAATCTATTAGTTACTGGAATCTGAATAACTGAAACATAAAGTTGAAAAGAATACAACTGGAAACGAGTTGGAGACAAATGTTGAAGATTTATATCATTACATATATTCATTGGATCATAACATACACAGCAAGAATACATATTCAAGATGTCATCAAAAGTAGTTTCAACTTCAACCAACAAGAAATAAATACTAATCGATATGAACAAATAGGATCTTGATCTGTGTCACAGACACCCGCTTTCTAATACCTACCGGTTAGTCAAATTTGGCAAACAGAAATTGATGGATGATGACGACGACGATGATGATGATGATGAGGATACCTTCTGACTTTGGGTACTTTGAGAAGAAGAAAAGGTGTCGCGTGCGGTTGTTTGTCTACACATCTATATGCAAGCGCCGCATTTCAGACAGAAAAGTTGGGCTTGAAGCCAATGTTTGGCGCGCGAGTGCCTTTATGTCCTCGCGTGTGCAGTCACGCGAGATGCGATATAGCTCCCACAGGGCTCCCCCACTGATCATGTCTTTTGCATTTACTTCTGTTGGTTGGGGAAAGAATATTTTAAAAAAATATTTTTATTTAAAAAAAATGATTTTTTTTAAGAGGGTGGGGAGAAAAAACAAACATATGAACCTCTGTGAGAACAAAAACATATTCCGTATTACCGTGTTGTGCGAGGTGGCAGAGTGCGAGCTCAACATGCCGTCTAATGAGTGAGGCTTCGTTATTCACGTTCTGTACAATCCATGGTAGGGCCCCGTCTTCTATCAGAAGGGACCGTCCAAGTTTTATGCCTGCAAGCATAACAATGGCCTATCAAACTCTCAGCCATTGAGAAATTATGAAACCAACAATAACGAAGGCAACAAAATCCCACCAAAGCAGGGTCTAGGACCATAAGAGTTTCACCCACCTTGGGAAGAAGCTCGGGACTCACACTTGGCGAAATTGGCAACCCCACGCGCAACTTGGGAAAGAACATCAGGATGTCTGCACCTCACCATTCCTAACAAAGCCCTTATACCACCTTCGGACCATAGCCTCATCTGCAGTTTATCTGATGAAGCAAAGCATGATTGAAATCATATATGCCAAATTGTATTGCCATAAAAATTATATCCCGTTTTCTTTAGAACTGTAAAAATGTTGCAGATTTTTCACCCACGAGGGATCATATACTTACTGATTGAAGGTTTAATTACGTTTTTCATCCTTGAAAATATAGCATTTTTAAGGTACCTCAAAAAATTGTAGTCATCTCAGTATTTTAAGGTGTTCTCTTTTTAGTCAAAATGACTTGAAGAACTCCAGTTTGTCCTTTGTGCGTGTTTTAAAAGTAATACTTAATATGGAAAGTGGAAACGGTGTGGAAAGAGCTTGAATGATGTGGAAATAAAGTATTACAAAGTATGCTTTATAAAAAAAATCATGGAAAGGCCAGATTGCCACCATCTATGAGCCACATAGGTGTTTCTAGATTTAAAAAACATGATATTCGCCGAGCTTAAAGAATATTTAAGCCAAGATTAAATAATAACACAACATTGTGAGACACTCAAAGACACCGCTTTAAGATATTTTAGGACACTTGTAAAAGAAAAGAAGCATACCATTTCCACAGAGATTTGCAATTGCTCCAGCAACCATGCGTAGAGTCTGAGGATCCTCAGCTTCAGCTGCTGTCATTGACAAAAGACTAATCCCACTATGAACCATAATAAGCTCCTGGTTCGCTTCTGCACGTGAGTGGGACATAACATCATTCACAAGATAGAAGAAAACAGAGAAGTACTACTCCAAAGCTCAAGGTCACAAGCAGCCAAAAAATGTCTCACCATTCATTGCAAGATTTGCAATTGCACCAGCAGCTATTCTACGTATAGTTTCATCCTCGGATTTTCGAAGAAGCATCAGTAGTGAAGTAAGACCACCAGCTTCAACTATTTTCTCCTGATTCGCTTCTAAGAATGCAGAAAGCCCCATGGCAGAATACCACAATCAGAAAGCAGTTAGGAATTCTGTGATTTGTGGTAAGCTATGTCATTTATTTTTCTAGACTAGACGGTTAAAAAGTATATCTTTGTTCAAACCCAGCATCACATAATTCACAAATCGCACCCAAAATATAGTTTTTATCAATGATTCAATGCACAATATAAAGTGACATTAAAGTATTCTTTTTAATGTTTTGTTCGTGTAGGAGTGGTAAGATGCAGAGAAAAATCACCTTCTGCTGCTAGGTTGGCAACCACTTTCACTGCATGAATTTGCACACTAGCATCTTCAGAGTCGAGCAATGACATTATCTTATTTAGGCCAACTGTTGTTCGATTAAAAGGGAATGAGTATAACAGTTTTTATAGGAAGTACATGTGAAATACGAGTTAAATACAATTATAATGGAACCTTGTTCGTGAAGATTGGTTATTGCCACTCTCTCCCCATTATTGCCATTTTTGGGCTGCAGATGTCTAAGTGAAGAAAGAGATTCCAGGCCAGGAAGTAAATTTCCATTTCTTCCTCTATCATCATAGCTTCTAGTCTAAGAACATGATCACACATTTAACTTCTTCAGTAAGCAGAATAAACGAAATTGAGAAAACAGCATTCTCCAAATTCTTGAATTGAGACTGCATCGATAGCAAGTATTCTAGGATCAAGGAACTAGCTAGTGATGGGGGGGGGGGGGGGATACCTGACTAGCTTCCAAATTCAATTGAGACAATTGACTTCTTAAGATGGTCACTTCCTCTTCCAATTTCTTCTTTTCACCAGCCTCTTCTTCCAATAGCTTTTGAAGGTACAGAGTATCAGTATTTCCATCTGGTAACTATGCAATTATTCATTCATCAGTTCAACCCTAGGATTCATTTTTAAGCAATTCTTTATGAAATAAAACTCTTCACGCAAAACATACTTCTTTCTTTGTAAACTTTATGNGGGGATACCTGACTAGCTTCCAAATTCAATTGAGACAATTGACTTCTTAAGATGGTCACTTCCTCTTCCAATTTCTTCTTTTCACCAGCCTCTTCTTCCAATAGCTTTTGAAGGTACAGAGTATCAGTATTTCCATCTGGTAACTATGCAATTATTCATTCATCAGTTCAACCCTAGGATTCATTTTTAAGCAATTCTTTATGAAATAAAACTCTTCACGCAAAACATACTTCTTTCTTTGTAAACTTTATGATTCGATTTTTTAGGTTACTGATTTCCTCTTCAGCTGCCTTTCTTATTTGAATTTCATTCTGCAGCAACTTCTTCAACTCAGACACCTCCTCACTAGCAAATCCACTGTGACTCTGCACCAAATGCAATTAAAATCCTTTTGAAATATATAAAGAAGAATACGATATTACGGTGGAAAGATAAAACATAAACCAATGTATAAACACAGAGAATTCATACTATGATAGCTTTCTTCTTTTAAAATAAGAGGAAACTAGTATGCAAACTTCATACTTGAACATGATTTTCCCTATCTCCCCCCCCCCCAATCTGTACTTTCTGTTCCTTCTTTAAATAAAATAGGGCAGTGAAGAGGATAAGAACAAAGCATTTTACGGGCGAGAAGAAACCTACTACCTCTCCAATGCCAGTGACACCATTCGTTGGATGTCTCTGTTGATTAAGCATCTTTTCTTCCAGTTTCTTAATTGAATCCATATATTCCATCTGGCACCTAATTTTCTCCACCTTCAAGTTGACAAATTCAATGAAAATAAATTCAACTATGCAAATGATGCTTAAGGAACTTCAATAGCGTAAAATATATTGCAGCTGTTGCAAGACCCACCAGCTCAAATCATGAATAAAGAACAAAATAGTTCTTTTTAATGAACTGGATATATATCTACAGGTTAATATTAATCATAGTGTTGATGGTTTATATATACATGTGTTTGGGTGAAGTTGATCCTTTGAGTCGCACGTTTAAATGTATAGAATTCTTTTAGAGTTCATGTCTACTCTCATGTGATGCAAAGGTGACAAAAGTTCAAAAAGTCTACAAAAAGGCTCCCTCTAAATCTCTAATGGCAGTGGTAAGGGAGATATTGAAACAACCTTCAATTCATCTGCATAGTTCTGCTCGGCCTTAGAGATGTGCTTTTGCGCTTCTAATTTTATTCTCTTGACCTCATCCTCAAAAGCATTTTGCTGTCTTTCATTTTCAGCAATAAGTTTGTCAACTTGTACCTCAAGTCTTTTGCACAAACTTCTGTAATCAAATTCTTCCTTAATTTTCAACATGTTCTCCACCTTCATAGCCTGTAAGAGATAGATTGAAAGAATTTCATTTTGATACAAGGCATGCAAAAAAAAAGATTGGTGATTGCGTTTTCTCTTAAAGAACACTCCCAAAAGGGCTCTTGATCAAATAACCCACCCTTTGTCCAAACAAAATGGTACTTGCTGTCTCTGCTCGATGCCGTGGCGATGGCCCAATGGTCACAACTAATGAGGTTCTTGACGTGCCTATGACATTACAATTAATAAATACAACATTAGAGAAGCTCCCAAGGCTGCAGCCACAGCCATAGTACATTACAGAAAAAACATAAGTTTTTTTTAGCTACTGGGCAATGGTGGGATTGGGGTGGGGGAGAGGGGGTGGGTGTGGGGGTGTCACAGATCCTTAAATCCATGTAACACAAATTTAAGCAAACCTCCAAATGAATCTTTAAGTAACCGTGTTAATTTTGAATCCCGAACTGGTACATGAGCACTATTTTCTGCCAAAGCATTTATACACTTCCCCAATGCACTTAGTGAAAGGTTGATAGACTTGGCTTCTTCTAATGTATGCCCTTCACTTCCTGCAGTATACCGTAAAAGAAAAACACAATACTAGTTATAATATGCTTCGAAATGTGAGCATGTGTACAGTACACGACATTTGCGAATTAGCTCTATGATTTATGCCCTAACAAACTGGCTAGATGCCATAACAAAACTTTAGGTGTACCAGATTTCAGAACGCGTTCAGAACCGGCAAGATCCACGAGGAGGAGTTTTCCTTTTCTAAGCATATGTGGTTTAAAATTAGTAGCCAAGTGGGAAGAATCATCATATTCAGCAGATACATCAGCTTCCCTTGCAGAAACAGACCTCTTAATGTTCACCTATACCACCAATTCAGGTTGGGCATGTCACCAATCGATCAGCGGCAGAGGTTTGGTGCAACTTGAACCATAAAAAACCAAATGCAATAGATTATAAGCTCATTTACCATGAGAATAGCATGACTACGAGAAGATTCGGTGTTAAGCTTTGTGTTGGCAGCATATCTATGAGCTTCCCCCAACTGCAGCAGCTCCATAAAACTTTCCTTGCCCCGGACGTCAATAACTGTTGCCCCTGGCAGGGAAACATCACCAGTTTTTTGGTCTTCAACTATAGAAATGTTGTCATTTGCTGGGTTAAGGAGGTCCTGAATTGTTTCCATGTAAAGCTGCACAAAGAAAGTATCATTCATTGCACTTCAGGGTTCAGAATCATGTGTATGGTTGGTTACTAATGGAAGGCTAAAAACAACCTAAACAGGCCATCAAGAATTTAAAAATTAAATGCCAACCTGCAAGTACGAGACAGACACTGAGTCAGTATCTGGACTTATATTTTCAAGTATGTCTTCCATTGAACGAACCATAATACCACGAGTAGAGTGATCCTCATCTCCCAACTGTCCAAGAGTATAGGTTTTCCCGGTACCCGTCTGACCATAAGCCATAACAGTCCCATTGTAGCCTTCTAAGACGCTCTGAGAAAAGAGTGGAAGATAACAGGGGGGATACCCATTGAGCAAAAACTTCCCAAATAAAAAGAAATTTAAATCTATAGCTACAAAGTCATTCATTAACTTCTTGAAACTTTCAGTACAATGTACTAGCTTTGTATAGGAATACGAATATAATATAATCATGGCTTCAGAACAGGTGCAAAACTAGATGAATATCTCTCCAAGAATCAAACTCAGCATAAACTTTAACCCCAACAAAAAAGATAAACATCATATTTGTGGAGGTAAAAAAGAATGCAGGAAATAGAATATTAAGATCAATAGTGAAAATTGCCATTTAAGGAGCCTTATTATTTCAGAACTTCTAGTCAGCTTGGAGAAGACAACTCATTAGATAAGATGCTTCACATTCAAAACAGATGTGTTTAAGGCAGCTAATTAACTGGACAAAGAATGACGCACACCTCGACAACAGGTTTTGCAACGACCTCGTACACACGTTTTTGTGATGCAAATTCGGTGAAGACCTCATCAAACTCATATGTATCTGTATCCCAGTTGTTTTTTCTTAATTTCAACCTTTTAAGCTGCCCAAGCAAAAGAGCAAAATAATGAATGAATATCAAGAATGAGCGTTTTTAACAAATCAACTATTCCTACTTCAAAAGTGAACTTTCTTAAAATTTATCTAAATCTAGCATCAAATACTTAATTTAAAACCTCAGGTTGTAGTTCTACACAATCAGCAAAATCTGCATCTGCTGCCGATTCCTCGGCATTCCTTGGTCGCAATCGTATGGAAACTCGAACTCTTCCAGAAACTATGCTTTTCAAAAAAAGAAACATTTCTATGAATACTTTCCAACAGTAAATTAGTCCAAATATTATTTAACTTAAAAACAAGCAAAAAATAATAAATAAATAATTAAAGTAGGAAAAACAATAGATATCTCTTTGCTATATAAGCAGCCAAACCACTAATTTGAACATATCCCGCGGCATTTCCATAAGACAAGACATTTCATTGTATTTATCTAGTCAAAACATAAAAACTGCCTAGAGTTTATGAACGACTAAACTCACCAAGAAAACTAAAATAAAAGTAATTACTTGGCATAAGAAATCTAAAAAATACATACATGATACATCAATACCCTCATATCTGTAAAAAATCATGCATACAAAAGAAACATATTTGATTTCTTAATCATAGCAACACAAAAATTAAGCGGAAATGATTAACATATTCCCCATGACCAGTATTTAAGATTGAAGAAAATAAAGGCTGAAATCATTTGCTACTATCCTGTATATCCCAAATATCCAGTTCAGTGTTATCATTGATTAAGGTTGAGCATAGGCCTACAACAGTTGTACAGTCACGACCAATGCACGAAGTTAATCAAGCACCCCTACGTTGCAATTGGAATCCTTTTTATGCCCAATGGCCCAAAATATGACTTAGTCTGACCAACCATCAGCTCATACAGTTCAATCCCAGAAAAGAAAGACTTGGATCCTCGCAAATAAATAGCTACTTACAACTGCACTATTCAACAACTCTCAAAAATCATTAAAGATGGAACTTTCCACCAGACTAAAAATTCCATAATTTAGAATAATTGAGACCTAAAATGGATTCGGCTGTTCATATTGCACAAATCTGACGGGGTAAAATTCTCCGACTAAAATGAGGCTGACGAAACCCCATTTCTAGCCAGTTGCTCAACTAAAAAAATCATTCACCATACCACAATGTTAAATTAACTCGAATAAGAAATGCAGAGCAGCTGGATCATCCAGCAAAAGGATCAAACATCCAAAATAAAAGTATTCCTTCCGTCCCTTTTCAACTCCTATTTCACTTTGCATTGTTTTTAAATAATGGTGAGATAATTTAACAATTTACTAAAAAAGAAAGAGTAGAATGTTTTAGTTAGTACGGACTTTAAAAAAATTAAGATAAAAAAGGGTGGCAAAAGATGTGATCCGCTAGGTTAACAGCCAGAAGAATCAAACTCAAACGGGTGAGAAATTCAAAATTCAATCCCAACACTCAATACTGAACACAATTTCAAGTACATTGATAGAGCAATCAACTTCAATCCACTTCAGAAATGGAAAAAGGAGGTAAAACGTACCGGTGTCGCCGCTTCCGAGTGCGGCGGCGATGCTGCTGCTGCGGCGGACATTAGACGTCGACGGGGGAAGCTTAGATTTAAACGTAGACGAATTCCTCAGATTCGTCGCCTTCTGATTCCCATTCCGAAAACCGCCGCTGGAAGCCATCACTTCCTCAACTCACGGAACAATGGAAATGCTTCAACAGTACTCAACAAGCCAGTTGAGTTCAAAAAAATGGGGGAAAGAAGCGAAGTGCCGGAGACGATCGAGGAAATTACAGAACTGCCCTCTCCGCGAACTCGTGCATTCATCGACACCGTGATTGGTGGTTGTGCAGCCGCCGGGACCGCGACCGGCCTCGTGGTCCAGTTCAAGTGCCGGTTGGTGTAATGACCGATTTAGCCTTGGCTAGTGGGAGCTTTTCAGGGCCTCACGTTCTAGAAAGAAGTAAGAGTTCATTTGGTCCTCATAACGTGGGTCCATCAGGGCCCAGCCCGCTTTTGAAACTGCTTTTGTTCTTTGTTTTTAAACGGACCAAAATCAGGCTATTTTTTAAGTTACCGAAACTTGGCGCATTGTAACAAAAATGTCTCACATCTTTAAAAGTATAAAAAAAAGATACCTCATACTGAAATTTTAAAATTCCGGCCCGTGAGTGTACATGTGGTGCTTCTACTTATGTAGCATTCCATATGACTTGTAATTTATCCAAAACTTGGTTAACTTTGTTAAAATTTAAATTTATAAGAGTCAAGTATAAAGTTAATCACGTATAGAAGAAGTTATAAGTTAATTAGGAAGTTATATGAAATGTCACACGTACACTAGAAAGCAAGTGGAAGCCCACATGTATAGTCACCGGCCATATTTTCAAAATTTCAACAATGGGTGTTTTTTTGTTACATTTTTTTAAAGATGAGGTACATTTTTATAACTAGTTGAAGATGAAATATTTTTAGTTATAAGAACCAAAATAATTGGGGTACATCTCAAGAAAAAAGCCACCTAAATCCTGATTTATTATAATTTTTACAGAGTAACGTATAATCAAGATTTCAAGCATTTGATTCTTGTACTTATAAGGCCCAATACTATGTATCTCTCCGTCCTAATAGCTAATACGTTTGTCATGTTCTTCACAGACTAGGTATTTGATTTTCTAATTTAATACGGAGTAATAAATTTTTAAAAATTTACAATAAAAAATTTATTATGAAAGTATTTTGCAAAATTGGTAAGGTTTCATTTCCAAAAACCAAAAGCTATCTTCATAAAAGGAAGTCGGCATTAGCATTTCAAATAATTTTTTAGTGATATAAATATATATTAAAAGGGAATATGTAATGTCACACCACTTTAAGAGGTGTCGCGAAGTGTATTATTTTTGTTGGTGTGACGTTAGAGATTCTTATTAACAGTAAAACTAAACGTTGTGGTTGAGTAATTTGAGACATCAACCAAAGAAAAATTCATCTATTGTAAAAAAAAAAAGTACCAAAGTTTCTTAGACATTAACCAATGAAAAATACGAAAAAATAAATCTGTGACAAAGGGAACATTTTAAAAATTTAAGTCAGACGTTTATCTGCTCTATATTGTACTTCCTCCGTCCCAATTTAATTCTTCTATTGTTTACAAGGCCTGAATGAAATGCTTTTCAATCGAATTTATTTGAAAATTAATATGGAATTTTAAAAAATAAAATTTATATATTTAAAAACTAAATATCAAAATTTCTCCCATACAAGAGGTTATTGAGTTTTTGAGTATCACACGCCCTAATCTGCGTGTATCAACTGATGTTTTCATTGAGTGTAGAGAAATGGGTAAAGAACGTGCGTGTAAATAGTAGACATACAATTTAAATTGAAATGGAGGATAAGTATTTCGAAGACGCCATCATCACTGACTCGGACTTTAGAGGCGAAGATTATAAAGACGGGGCGATCAGGGGAGTCTCTCTATGAGATATATTATATGTCATATCATTATGTATACAAAGAGATAACAAAGACATTCACAAGAACTAAACCAAACAATTAGACATATGATGATACCACGCACAGTTATAATAACACGATATATGCTGCGTATAATACTTGTGCGTAGTTGACAGAGGTACCAAGTTTCTGCATATCCACAAAAGCTTTCATTTGGAGTAGAAAGAGAGAGAGCCCTTCAGACCTCTTCCCTACCGCTTCGGTCGCCGTTTTTGAGGATGTTGTACTTGCAGAGAGGGCAGGTGGCATTTATGAACAGCCACTTGTCTATACAGGCACAGTGGAAATGGTGGCGACATGGCAGCTCGCGGAGTTCGATGCCGTCATCATAGGGGCACAGGCAGATGCAACATTCCTACATCCATGATGATGATGATGATGATGATGATGATGAATAAGATGATGATGATGATGATGATGAAAAAGAATAAGATGATGATGATGATGATGAAAAAGAATAAGATGAAGATGATGATCAAAAGTTTAAAATGTGTGCTTGAATTTTCATTTTAAATGTAAATTTTGAAGGGCACGAAGATGATTAAGAAAATGAAAATTTGTGTGATTGAGATTTATTTATTTAGAGAGAACAAGAAAATGCTTTGCTTAGAAGGAGATGGGAGAAAAAAAGGCAGGAGATTATGTAATGACAGAGGGAGCATGTATCTCTCAAATCTGGCTGGGTTGCACAAGTAATGTATATCTATCTCCTAAATCTTGAAAAAGAAACCCTAGGAAGAAAAAATCATTGTGGTATTGTCCACTTATAGTTCCCAGACACTCTTTTTGCTTACCTACCTTATGTTTTCTGCCAAAAACTAAGAGCTTATTTGGGATAACTTATAGGACACATGCTTTTATCATAAAGTTTTTTCTAACTAATAAGTCAATTTCATATGCATTCTAAATTATTTGGTTGCACTTCCCTTCCATTTTGCTCATTTGCTGCCAAATGCTTCATTTTGAAGTAATCCTGCAAGAGTGCTTTCCTTTCTTAAAAAAGCACTTGGGGGTTTGGTACACGGAATTGGCGGAATTGGAATTGAACTGAATTAGATGCAATTGAACTCTTCAATTTCAATTCAGTTTTTGCACTACGAATTTCAAATCCACATATTTTTGTGTTACCAAACAGCAGAATTGGAATTGAAGTAATTCCGTGTGCCAAAGGGAAGCCTGATTGAAATTATGTCAATGAAAATTGCACTTTATCTTCTTTTAATTTTGCATTTCTGAAATCAGATCATGATGAAAAAAGTAAAGCACAAGTTTTCCTGGGCCAAAATGAATTAGAATGGCACTTATACCCTCACTTTAGATACTTTTTCTATAATTTATTAATTATAAATTTATTTTTTATCTTTAGATAAATAAAGTTATATTGTCCACAATTTCAGTCACTTCAACCATTTCAGCAAAATTTCTCCCAAACATAGTTGTCAATCTGTCATGGCAAATGGCAACAGTGGTGGCGATGGCCCAGTTTCTTATGGCAATGGCGGCGCAAATATGGCGTCGCCACAAGTCACACAATCAAATAACTAATGCGTAAGCCACTAAGACATAAACTCGATAATGGAGTACTTGATCTAAAAAGTCATGTTGGAAATAAAACACAACTGGAAATTCATTTCAAACCACCCAAAGGTGGGTTTTTTTAAGGAACCCAAAGGTGATTGTATTAAAACAACTCAAGCAAAACTCAAAAGTTAATTCAAAATTAAGTTGATAAAAAGTTCAATCTAGTCGATAAGTCAAAGTAATATTTTTTAAAAGAATAAATATAACCTTTATCAATAAAGATAAGCATTAATTAAAAATACTACTATGAAATATCATTTTCATAACAAAATTAAGTTTAAAGGTGACACCTAAACAAAAACAAGTATGAAGTATGGAGTATAAGAAACTAATATCCTTTAATTTTTAAGATCCCAAAAAATGTTAGATTTAATTAAAAACAAAATTGTAAGTTGATTAAAAAACAAATCTAAAAGTGACAAAAATTATAACTGAAATGAAAAACAATACTTCGTATTGCATTAACTTAATTATCAAATACTATATGAACTTTGAACTTATCCCCTGGCTTTAGTGGTAGCAAGCCCACTCCCCGAGATTCGTGGGGAAGTTCACCAGCTCAGCGAAGGGAAAACATTGACTCTTTGTGCGTCATTAGGTTGAGAATAGTATGAACAAATACTACCTTGTAATAGAGTCAATAGCAATAAAAAAAATACTATATGAACTTTTATTATCACCTTTAAAAAAAATTCCTCTCAATCCCAACAAAATTTAAAGCAATAAAATTAAAAAGAAATAATTAAAGAAGGAATTTGGATCTTAACGCAAAAAGGAGAACACGTAACTTAGATGAAAAAAGGACAAGCACAACCTAACTAATACGAAGTATTCCAAAACAATAGTCGGACAGATGGAATGCAAGGTAGGGCTTTCTTTTTTTAAATTAAATGAAATCTAGCTTGAGTCTTGGGTCGCACAAGAAAGGATGCGACTTAGAGACTAATTATTTGTCCTATAGTCGTAGATTTGTTGACGACGGGATGCTTAATTAAGTCGATAAAAATGGCAAAAAATGGCGATAGCGCTAAAATGGTGTTGCCGTGGGATGACAATTGCCACAACCAATATTGTGGCGATTAGGGGCCATATCACCAATGGCGCATTTATGGCGCGTTCTATTTGCACCATCGATAACCATGCTCTCAAGTCACTAACCAAATGGACAAATGTTCTAATATCCAGTAAATAAACATACTCAGAGAGTCAGATGCAGTCAAACAGTTCATAAGTATCAACAAACCTTAAATGCAATAAGGTGAAAAGTTGAAGATGTATTGTAATATATGTCAAATAATTAAAAGACTTACAGCATCCTCAGCAGGAAGAACGTGTTCAATAGGTGAATCAGTATTGCATTCAGTCATTACTCCTCCAAATGACTCTTGGATCTCGCCATTTTCTTTCTCAAAATCGCCAAGTTTCCTGAATTTGTACTTGGGTAACTGTTCAATGTCTTCCTTGGTTGCTCCTTCCTGATGCATTAGAAATGCAGCATTGAGATTTGAAATATAATTAAGCATTTCAAGAGGAGATGCGACACAGTGAGATCCTAATTCAAAAGCACTGATTTCAAGGTTGACAGCATGCATTCTATCTAAGGCATAACCATTTTTACTTTTTTTGTTGTTAGGGGAGATGCCTAATGTGGGAGATAATGGGAGAAAACAGAGCAGTAAACTATAGAACACTAACAAATATTTGTGAGTTCATGGAAAAACCATTTCTAGTCATTGGGGTAGAGAAGTAGAGGAAACCTATGTGTACGTCTTACCCCTTCGATCCCTTACATCCTGACAGGATATATGTGGGGTATGTTTGGTTACTTTCACAAAGAGTTGTGAGGTAAAAGAGTTCCCAACTCTCTTTATATTTCCAGAAAAAAATAAAGACTAAATAGAAATAGTACTTTTAGCTTTCCCTAAGGGAGTAGGGACACAAACCAGAGGACAATGGTCCAAGTGAGGCGCTAAACCCATGGTTAAAAACACTGAAAAAGCTAAATAACCTTCTTTTGTTTCTAGTTTTACATCAGCAGTCATGTTTCATTCACCATAATCCTTGTAAACTAAAAACATTTCCACACCAATTCATAATTAGAAAGTGCTCTTATAGAAGGGCATGCCAGATTTGAAGCTTTGCAGATTATTGATTATAATCAGTGAAATACTAAGAGCACAGTTATCGTACACATTGTTTTAAACTATATAAGAGACTAATAGTTGGACCATGTTCATCAAACATCTATAGTCAATCCAAGAGTCCAGAAATGGCCGATAAGCAATTTAGCAAACACCCCTAAACATGGCATGAGATAAATAAAGGTATCCATGTCCACATTTTGTTGGCACTGAAATGAGTTGAATACAGTGTGATAGCATCGCTATATAGCATAAAACCTCCTGCCCCATAGACCCAACCTCCGGATGCCGCCACAATCGCTTAAGGAAAAAAGGAAGACAAACAGCTGAATATATGAATGTACCTGATCTGCAACTGCATATAATATTGCAATTATGCATGGTAAACAACAGCAAACAGCAATACCAATTACACATGCTACAGCAACACAGATAACAACAAAGAACACATCAAATGCCAAGAACGTAATACAGAGCCTGCAAAAAGCACAAAAATAAAATGAACTTCATTACGATGAAAAGAATGCTGTTTAGAAATTAAAAGTCATATGGAGACATGCATACCAGTAAAGTTGAGGAGAATCATGGGGCAATCTGTCACCACCAGCAGATACCCAATAAAATCCCATAATCCACCAAATAAATGAGAACATTGTGTTGGCAGACTCTAGGTGTTTTGCAAGGCTACAATATTCACATTACAACAAGAGTTAAGTTCCTCCAATGAGATGCGATGCAGCAAGGAAGCTACTATGAAGTAATAAGATAATCAGCTCCAAGAACAAACAACTTTTTCTCTTATATACAGAGTATTTTACAATAAAAACCTTTCTTATATATCAGCATACTAAATCCCGTGAGGCTTTGACTGCATATGAAATTTTGGGACATGGCAATTTAACCTTTTTGTTTTGGTCAATAAAGATATAATTCTATCACGCATTGGCAATTTGGCATAGACAAGGAGTCCAAATATTTGAAGTTGAGTTGAGCTAGAGAAACAATTTGTTTGTATAATTTTTATAGGAACAACTTACTTTACACACTAAGAAAAAAGAATGGTGTTCCTGATTTTATGTTCATGGTGTTCCTTATATTTCAATAGTTCTCCAATTCATATTTTCAAAAAAAAACAGTAATTCATAAAACTAACTGCAAAGTAGGAAGATATCTTTGGATATGGATTGCTTGATGATAAATACATTCAGAATAAATGGACAAACAATCAATAATTGGATAAACATGCACCTAAATTAATGCGCACAGTTCACCTTAGAGTAAAAGTAGGTACCTGGGTTCATCCTCATTCTGAGACCTTTCTGAGGCATAATCACTGGTCTCTTCCTCACTTTCAGAGCTCGAATTCGCACTGCTCCAACCTCTGTTGCTGTTTATCCGTCGAGATGATAAACTCTCAGGCGAATTTCGAAGCTGGTTGCGCCGTCTATACTCCACAAAGACACAAACCATGTGAAGCACACACTGCAAAGCATAACCAACAATCCAGAGCCTGAGAGGCATCGAAGGCGACTCGTTTTGGCTCATACCTAACACAGAGATCGAGACTATGATGAAAGCTAGGTTCCAGATGAGATCTAGGACGACGATAGGCTTCGAGTAGGCCCAATCACTCTGCCTTTCCTCGATCTGCTCTGCCGCCGCCTCGCGCACCCGCATCGACGGCTCACGCATCATCCGACGACTGCTGGCTCGCCGGAGGAACCGAGCCGCTCCTCGGAGGCTCGGAGAATGCCGCATGAATCGCCGGCTGCGGAAGGTCTGGTCGCTAAGCAAAGGCGCCGGGTCGACGCCGCCGACATCCACGGAGCCGGAGTTGACGTTGGAGTTCGGTGTGCCTTCGTTCGGATCCGTTGCCGTCGACATTGTTGCCGGAGAATCTAAGGGAGGGAGATAGGAACTAGGAAGAAGATTGCGGTAGATGAATTGAGATCGATTAATCCATCTGAAACGATTATTTTAGCCGACAACTGGCAACGATTAACGATCACGATTGCCTCTAAACGGTGAGGCTCGAAACAGCGGAATACTCCGTATCTATTTTATGGTCAACTCATTTCATTGTTTGAATGAATAGTCTTTTACATTTCCAGAGTCTCCAATGCACAATCCTGATTGTTAATATCTCCATTTATATATAATTTTATATTATAAAAGTATAATATTTTTAACTTTTATTTCATAATTAATTTATTGATAATTAATTTATATAATAATATAGTATAATTTTCCCATATTTTATGTTCAAAGTTAGAAAATTTTGACCAAGCAAAAGTAAATAGAAAGATAATTCTAAGAGAGGGTGAGTATATATATATTTTTTAATTTTACTTGACTGCCTTGACACCATTTTAAATAAAATTGAAGCATATGGTTGTGATTTTTGTAAGAATAATTATACAGGGTATGAACTAGAAAAAAAAATGAGTAAATTTTATAATTGGTCTTTTATAAAAGGAATATTGCCCTATTTAGTCATCTATTATCAAATATTATCTCAGTGGTCCTTTTATGAATTCATTTCCATAAATAGTCCTTTTTTTATCTCCTATCATGTTGGTGATAATTTAAAGGCTAAAAGTGTGATTTCACAATGATAATATATCTTTCTTGACATACACAAATCTAAACCCCACTCATGATGCGTCGTTTGTGATTACAGTTACTTTTTACTACAACCATGGTCTATAAGTGTGGTCTTTTGTCGGAATCCGAGCCCACAATCATCGTCATTATTTTTGTGTTATACGTCAAACCAATATTAGAATACATTAATGGACATAAAATTGATGTCAAATTATTCTTTTAGTTTTTAAATAAACACCAACATGGTAAAATATCAAAAAAAACCATTTGTGGAAAGGCAATAATAAAAGAAGGACTACGTGGTTAATATTTGATAATAGAGGATTAAATATGAAAACTCATCTATTATAAAAGACCAATTATAAAATTTACTCTGAAAAAATAGAAAGAAAATATGACAATCTAAATATTTTCTGAGTCCCAAGTTATTTGTTCTAGTATGATTTTTATATTAACTTTAACAACAAATTATACTCGCTCCGTCTAGAAGTTATCTTCTCATTTGATTTTTCACAGTGTCCAAAATTATACTTTGACCATTTATATCTATATTTATATACATAAATATATGTTATAAAAATTGACATTTCAATACTATGTTTCAAAAGAAATATATTGATATTATGTTAATATCATAACACATTTATTTTTTCTATATATAGAGACAAAATTTATAATTTTTGACCAAGAAAAGTCAAATAGAAAGAAAATTTCTGGATAGAGGATATAATTTTATATAGGGCACGGTTTCGTTGACACTCGCCAACGATGACACTAGCGATGACACTGCATTTTTGGAGCACCTCTAATGCTCCAATAAAAAAATTGATGGTTCCTACTTCTCACCCCTTAAAGCTCCCACTGTAGCCCCACCCTTACCCCCACCACAGCCTCGCCCTAAACCCCCTCTAAATGTGTGGCTACTATGGCTTATAGTACATTTTGATAAGTTATGTTTGTATAACTCCCATTTTAGTTTTGGTTGTTTGGAGTCTAGGTGTTATTGTTCGCGTGCAGTGACTTTGTATTTAGTGCTTTCTTTGAATAAAATTACATTTTCTTGATTAAAAAAGAGATATATAGTCAGTATATATTTATCTCGATTTGCACTGAAACCGATAACAAACTATCTCAACTTGTTAGAGAAGAAAATAAAGAAAATAGAACGAAAAGAAAAAAAAGGAAGAACTAAACCATGAGAGAATGAAAATCAACTTTTATTTCATTTTGACACGAACCTATGAACCAAACACAGTGTACATAAAAGAGTAGAGTGTATATAAAGGGGCATAATGGGTACCACACCAAAAGATACCCAAAAAATATTACTCAAATGAGGAAAGTGCACTGTTTACCCTTGTATTCTTCGGAAATTGTATGATTTACTCCTAAACATTAAAAAGTGCACTAATTCTAAACACCACTGAATTCTTCAGAAATTGCACGGTTTACTACTGAACATTAAAAAATGCACCAAATATCTCTAAATTCTTTAGAAATTGCACAGTTTACCCCTGAACATTTAAATAAAGACAATAAATTTGGGGAAGGGTACTTTGGAAATTCACAAAGTCTAGATGAATCATACTCACAATTCCCGTGCGTGGGAGGAACACACTCCCTATATAGCATTTTAGGACCAACGGTATAACGTTTTAAGTTGTTCAGGGGTACTTGGTGCACTTTTAAATGTTCATGGGTAAATCGTGTAATTTTTGAAGAGTATATTTTTTAATGTTTATGGATAAATCATACATTTTCTAAAGTGTTCAGAGGTAAACCCTACACTTTTCTTTTACTCAAATTATTTTTTGTTTGCGAAAAAACAACAGTAACACCAAATTATTACGGCTAGCGCACCTAAGCCAAGGGATGACGACAAACAAATAATAATGGCAAGTCTAGCTCTCTTGCTTATTCTCCCTCTTTTACCCTTGCGAGCTGCCGATATTACTAATGACCGACGACCCAATGAACCGGCTAGTGGGGATATAAAATGATGTGTCTCAACAAGATGAAGATCCAGACCGCCACAATGATGCGTAAGTGGCGGTCCACACAACAGAGAGTTTCCTCCGAACGACGTAGGTGGAAACCCTCTGAGTGATACGGGAATGGTGCCACTGAAACGATTGCTGCTCAGGTTCAGATGCTTGAGACGCAGGAAGTTAAGGTTCGGAGGTATAACCCCAGACAAGGAGTTGTTACTGAGGTCGAGCTTCTCTAGCGCGTCGAGTCCCCCGATTGTCGTGTCACCCGAGAGAGTACCGCGGAGCCCGAAGTCGGGAAGTCGTAGTTCGACAACCCGACTTCGGCCCGGGGTGCAGGTCACCCCGACCCATGAGGTGCAGATGGAGTCGGGGACCGCCGGCTCCGTGGAGGTCCATCCCAGACGTCCACGGGGAGCATTGTGAAGGGTATTAGCAAAGTCCAAAAGGGCTTGTTTGTCTGTTCCAAGATCATATGCCAATGCTATTATTGCTTGGAGGAGAAGCAATGAAATGAGAGGAAGAAGAACTATGGAGGAGAAACAGTCGCAGTCTCTCTTTACATGCATTCTCAGTTTCTTACCTAGTAAACAAAGAGAAATTTCGTTAAAGGCTCATTCTTTTGAAAGAAAGACCAAAGTAGGACTAAAACTTTGAAAATATACCAAAATAGGACTTCCATGTTTTTATTCCCAAAATAGGACTTACATTACGAACCGTGGTCATATACATTACCAAAAAAGCATTGTAATTTGCACATGTACATTGCCACATTACCACAATGCAAGGTCACATTACCACAGTGCAAAGTCTTATTCCGGAAAAAAACATGAAAGTTCTATTTTGGTACTTTTATCTATGTTTTAGTCTTATTTAGGATAATTTCTACATTCTTTTCAAGGATAGATGGATTCATACAGTTTGATTTTTTCGAATTAAAAAACACGAATTTTAGGTATTACTCTCTAAATGAATAATGATGGTAATATACATCAATTTTAAACGATATTACTTTTTAAATCAAACTGTGATTAAAATATTTTAAAATGAATCCAAATATACATTATTAAAATATTCTTTTTGGTATATCAAACTTGTTTAATACGGAGTATTTATTAATTTTAAACTATATTTAATTTAAGGTTAGAGAGTGTCGCAGTTTAATTGACAACAAAATCAGGTTGTGACTCTCTTATTGACAAGGAGGTAGTATTTAATTAGAGTTATATTGTTTAGAACTTTTAAAATTTTATGTGATTGTATTAATATGCAATATAATTTGAAAATAATTGATGATTAAATTTCATCAAATTGAACTTGAAAAAGACAAACTGAACAAATATGCTAGAACAGATAGAGTAAATAATATACTCCCCTGCCCCGTATTGGATTAAAATTTCACATTTAGGAGGCAAAGCTCTATTTTTATCAAAATCAATTTATTTAAAATTGATATAAGAATAATTAACAAAATTTATATATTAAAAAACTACGTTGAAAGTCTTACAAAATAAGAAATGACAAGAATATTTTATTTTACAAAATAATCGAAAAGATATATAAATAAATAAAAATTATTGAGTGATAGATAGATCTCTAAAAAAATTTATTTGTAATCTAATTATTTGAGATGCAAGGAGGAGGTCGAAATGAACCTTATGAACACACAGAAGGATAGAAAAAGTTGACCTTGCCTTAAAATCTAAGAAATGATTGGAGAAACGAGTCAACCAATATACGGACTAATAACAATTTTTTTTTTCTTTTTTGAAATTATGGGTAACACTTATGGTTAATTTCTCTAAGTATATATATAGAGATGGAAGAGAATAAAGTGGAGCATATACAGAGTACATTTCTTCACCATCGATCCAATCTTGCCATTTATACGATTTATATCCCAAAAAAAGATTCTTAATTACTATTCACAGAATCACAGGTCATCAAGTTAAATTTACTTTCTTTATACGAGTATATTTTTATCGAACATTTGATAAAATAAAAAAACTTTTCACTACTAGCTTGTTTTAATTTATACGGAGTAATACATTGATGTAGTTTTTTAATATAATTCTTATTTTTTAATTCTATACCAATGTTTACTTATATTGATTTAAAAATAATTTCAATCAATATAAGTATCGATTGTAAGGAGGTCACAGATGCCTTCAACGTCTCTTCTTAGTACTGGTCTTTTTTTTCTTCTATTATTGATGATGGTAAATCGCTCTTAGCCTTTAGTGGTGAGGTTATTAGTTTCTATTTTGTGCACCGCTCTACCAAAGAGCCGGCACACTATCTTGCTCGTGCCTCCCATTCGTCTCAAAGCAAAGGAGAATGACTGCAGAACGTAGCAGTCCACCAAACGTAGCGACGAAGTTTTATT